CTTTCGCTGCCAAGCCCTCCGGAACATTTTTCAAATCAGCTGGCCAAGCCATTTTTGAATTTTCTGCAATTTTTTCCTATTGATTTGATTTTCAACTGCTGCGTTGCTAGCGTTTGTAAAAGACCCCCCAAACCATATATTTTCTGAAAGCGCAGGCCCAGGTAGAATAAAAAGATGGTGATACTAAATTTGTAGGCCCTGCGATAATTGCGCAAATGTTACTCAAATTAATATTAAACCGATAAAAATACACAATTCAATTGTTAAAACGCACCAAAATTAGTATCAGCGCACAAAAAATAATAATTTTCTGACTAAATCTAAAAGATAAACTGTATTGAGTTAATAAATAAATATTTGCAAATTTGAAATTGCGCCTTTTTGCGAAAAGGTAAAAAAAGTACGGTACGCAAAACTGTAAATAAGCAACTTATGTTAAAAAATTGTTTTCACGCTGTGTTGGTGTTTGTGTTGTGATAAAATGATACATTCTTGTTCTTGTAGCTCTATATCTGCAGTGTGAACTTCTCTATCCTGTCCATATTAGATGACTGTTAGGGCCATGGCACAATTGCTATCCAATCGCTGACAACAACTCGCCAGTGACAGGGTGGCACGGGCAGAGAGAAATATACACCTATTTCTATGGTGCCACACTCTGTGGCTGGATGAGCGAGGCACTGCTCCCTCGCTCACAGAAACGCTCCCTTACTCACCTGGCTACCAAGGAAGTGACACAGAAAATGTTTGAGTAATTTTCTGCCTTGAACAGTGATTGTCACTAGCAAAAGGATTGCAACTGTGACACAGCCCTAAGAGTTCATGTCTAGGAGTTATCCATTCGCACATATGCAGCTGTGTTCAAATAGAAAATGCAGTGTTGGACTTCTGCACAGAGACACAGCATGAAACCACCTTCTGGGACCCTACAGGCAATACCACTTGACTTATATTCTCAAAGGAGTGGAAAACTGTTGCACTGTGTTACATGGGCCTATAACCATTTTGTTTTAATAACACATTTTAATATGAATGTTAAACAAAATTGAAAAGGAAAAAATGCTACTTGAGCCTTATGAAGTAGCTGCCACATTCATGTCTAGTGGCAGATATATACATGTTTTTTTCAAAATCAGGAGAATGCTTGCCTTTTAAAAAGCAGTTGACAAATGGAAAGAACACATTATAATCAAAGTAGACCTCACAATGCAATAAGAGCCCTAAAAAGATATCTCTTTTTAATACAGAAAATACTTAAAGCAGAAAAAAAACTTGAAATCTTATATAGATTACAACCCTTTTATTATAACTAATTAACCAGTTGCCGTCCGCCCGTTGAAAAAAAACAGATTGACGGCACTTATGCATTATCCCGTTACCCTAAGGAGAACTATGGGGAAAAACACTGACCCCCATAGCTCTCCTTTAAATCCCCCCACCCCCACGTTTACGCACATATAAGCGTAAATATGCGCCCGGTGCACGAAAACGACAATTGCGCTACACACGTTACATATCGCCGCGACCGTCGCAGTGAGAGCAATGATTTTAGGGCCATCAATCACTGATAACACTAAACTGATGAGCGGTAAAAGCTTTTAAAGTGTCGCCTATGGCCAATTTTGGGTATTATCGTTTTTTGAGGTTTCACACGCAATTTTAATGCTTGACATGTTTGGTGTCTTTGACCCGACGGGTAATAATAAATGTTTTATCATTTATTATATAGGGAAACAGTTTTTTTTTAATTTCGGTAATTTTTCCTTAATATAGTAAAAAATTAAAAACACAATGGTGTTTAAATACCACCAAAATAAAGCTCCATCTGTCCCTAAAAAATGGTATAAAATTAATTTCAGTACAGTATTGCATGATGGAATAAATGTCAAAGTACTGCAGCGCTGAATACTGAAAAATGGCCTGGATGGGAAGGGGGTTTAACACCGCGGACTTCAAGTGGTTAATAAACGTATAAAGTGGACAAATATTTAAATATTCATTTAAAACGGTCAGTCTCGCTGGGATTTATAAACAGATAAATAAAAGGGCTGAAAAACCTACGCTGTAGAAAATGATTCTTCCTCCAGTGCTGGACTATATGGACTATATGGACTACTAGGAATTTAAACTCCTAAGTTTTGTTGAGAAAAAAAAATCCTCTCTAGAAAGATTTGACTTTGGCTTTTATCTTAATGCAAAGTTTTCTGAAAAAGATAGCCAACCCCCAACCTATCGATTTGTGTATCACTCAGCTGTAGATGTGTCAGCAGTCTCTGAATTCTGCTGACACTTTCCTTCCTTCTGGAGGGTGGCTACTTTTGTTCCCCATGGTCCCTGTGTGTTGAGTAACTACCGCTCCAAACTTGCTCCTGCGATGGATTACAATCTCAATACAAATTAGTATACTAAACCTGCGATAGTAGTCCATCACAGGAGCGAGCTTGCAGCGGTGGCTACTTCACAACACACATAGGGACCATGGGGAACAAAAGCAGTCACCCTACGGAAGGACAGACGGTGTCTGCATGAATTCAGACATGATTTTAAGATTTACAGCTGAGTGATACACAAATACAGCACATTTATGTTAATAGTTAAGGTATTTGAATGCGTTAAGATTTAACTACTGAGTTTAGTGTCACTGTAAGGTACATCGCCTTACCCAGGCCCACTTTGAAGAATATTTAAAGACATTTTCAAATCTTGGATAGGAGTAGAGAAGGGTCAATAGACCCATTTTTGCAATCTTCATTACAGACATTTACCTTCACTTCCTGTTCTGTAGACTCAACAAGATGTGACAAGAAATCATTAAAATATGAAGGAAATCCCCTCTTAGACAGTTATCACAAGAACAAGTATGCCAAATGGAAGATTTCCCTTCTATTCCTGTTCTGATGCTAATTCAAAATTTTGGATTTACCACCACTTTCATTTCACTGACACTTGGTGACATTTTTTCATAGCTAAAACTCTGCTACACTTTTCCCTCAAATGGTAACTTATCTGCTTAGTATAGACAAGAGGAAGGAAATTTCTACCGAGATCTTAGATTAATTTTTATCAAACTGATTCCAATGAATGAGGAAGGACTTTTTTTTTTATTGTATTTTAAGTTGCCATACAGTGCAAAGGAAATTTGACTTGGAGCAGCACAAAGCACTCCAGAAAAGAATATACTTGGTAATTTAACGTAAATGTCAGCTGTAACTTCTATGTTTTGGCCCAAGCGGCAGCATTAGAGTTTAAAATGTGAAAACATTAACTTACCCACACCACTCCACTATCTCTCTTTACAATAAAGTTTTTTGCTACACAGATACAAGAGAAAATATACTAATCACACTTAGAATTGTAATTCTATTACTTATTGGTCACTCTTCTCTTTAAAAATGTGTATGTTTAAAAGAAAGGGCTCTAAGCATATTTATTTCTTGAGCATTATATTAGAAATAGAATGTAAAGGGGGGAGGATAGCTGCTTCATGTGAACATACATGTGCTCATTAGCTCCCGCAAGACATCCTTCTATTAATCCTATAGAGAACCCTACTGCCTGGGGTTCCTGTGGTTGCACCTGCCACCCTATGCTCGCAGCTCCACTGACTGCTGTGCCTTCTACATTCTCTGAACAGCATGACCAAGTAGAATAGGAGAGCAGGCCCAAAATGGCAGTGACAGCTCCCAGACTCCACAAGGTGGACAGCCAGCTAGAGACAGAACCAGAGAAGCAGCTGCAGCACGCCTGGAATGCTTTACAAGACACTCTCCAGAGACTGAGGCTGAGGATTCACTTCCAGCCGCTCTACTGCTTCTTTGATGCACTCTGCACCACTTCATGGGTCGGTGGCAGTTTCTCTGTCTACAGGGGAAACCATGGACTCTGTAAGTACCTCTTTATTGCTCCCTAAACCCTTCAGGGACAGTATTGCGCAGTGGAAAGTAGAATGTAAAACAGAATTTAGAAAACAATCATAAGTTTCATTAATCTTAAATGTGTGAGTACCAGACTAAATCCTGATTTACAAGGCAGTGAAACAGGAGTGTCTTTTAGAAGACAACAGGTCAAACAATAACCTCAAATGTATTACATAAGTTGACTCACTTCTGGAATCTCTGCTCTACCCACTGTAATCACAATACATGCTATTGTTATAGAATAAGTCTCTCCTTCCTTTAATCTATCTTAAATGAGAGCTTAAAGGGTATCTAAGAGTCAAAAACTAAAAATAAATATGTATTTCTATATTGAATTTCCATATGTTCTATCCCACTCCGAATAACCATATCCATTTAGAAGTTTGTTAACCTTCTTATTGAAGATGCCCATAGGATGTACTTCAAAGCAGTGACACAAATTAAATTAGCCCTTTAAATATACACTTCCTTGTGTCACAACACTCAAAGCCTGCCTTCTGAACTATAACATCATTGTTTGCTGGGAACAATGCATTATGAGCTATGCACAGTAGTCTTGAGAAAGCAAGATTGCATCACATCAAGCAGGAGGGAAAGAGAAGCAAAGCACACTGGGAAGTCAGGAAGTTGTTGAAGGTAATGGGCAGAAATAAGGCAGCAATCAATACATAAAATGTTTTTTTTTATGTACGCTTTGATTGCATTATCAAAAACAACTATAGTATGTACTTCTATTACAATGCTGATGTTATAACAGGACAGTATATTCTGTGACTCTACAACTTCTTTAAATGCATGGCACACACCAAAGGATTCCCTAACGTTGCAAGGGCAACTACAGAAACTTTCTATTGGGCATTCAGGGTATTCATTAAGTTTAAGAGCCAATAGAGATGGAAGAGGTGAACTAGGTGACTACGTCCACATATTAAAAAAAAAAAAAATTGAGATACATTTTGCTTAAAGACACAATTCCAAAGAAACAAACAAACAATCTCATTACCAAGCATTGTAGGCATTTATAAATGCTATACAAGATGACCAGGCCCAAATAAACACCTTTATACAATCCATTCAACATACCTGATGATGTTGGGTCTTCTGAAAAGTCAGGTAATTCCTCTGGAGGATCCCCATAAAATGAATTGAACTTGTGGCTAGACACAGCAGCTAAAACAGCTCCCTGGATAGGCAAAAAGATTGAAAATCCAACATAAACATATATTACTAAATGAACGGAATCTTCAGAACAAGCTGACCCCTGCCTACATATTAAAGTGACACTAAACATTAAAACTTATAAATTAATTCAAGTACCTTAGTAATTAGCAAAAATATATCTTATTTGTGTATCACTCGGCTGTAGACCCTCAAATCATTCCTGAATTGGTGCGGACACTGTCCTTCCTTCTGGAGGAAGGCTACTTTTCTTCCTCATGATCCCTGTGTGTGTTGTAGAGTAGCCACCCCTCCAAGCTCGCTGCCGTGATGGACTACAATCTCACGTGAATTTTGATTTGTCTTGAGATAGTAGTGTATCCACAGGAGTGAACTTGGAGTGGCTACTTTACAACACACACCAGGAACCATAAGGAACAAAAGTAGCCACCCTCCAGAAGGAAGGACAGTGTCCGCACCAATTCAGGAATGATTTGAGGATCTACAGCCGAGTGATACACAAATAAGATACATTTTTGTTAATAGTTAGTAGTTCAATTTAAAAAAAGCATTCCAGTACCTTGAGTTTAGTGTCACTTTAAGCAGGCAGTACACTAGTAGATTTTCATATATACAGGTAATTAAAAAATCCATCAAAACATTCAAAAATGCCAACAGAGACTTGACGTTTTAAATTTTGTTTAGTTTTAACGTTAAGTTTTGTAATTAATTGATTTTTCAAACATTTGAGATAAAAACAAATTCCATCCTGCTCCTTTTGATCTTTTTTTGTCATTACGGGTCGTGAACGATTGTCAGTTTATCAAACCTGGAGCAGACGGAATCTGGAGCAGTTAGCCATATAAATCAATCAGGTTCTCTCTTCAGTTTGTTCAGTTAAGATTTGAAAATTAACGATAGAAGCTTAAAGGTTGTCATGCACAGCTGCTCCAGATTCTGTCTGCACCACTTTTGATAAGCGTGATGGACAAGTGAGCTAGATTTCGGTTAATAGTTAAGGTACTTAAAGCTTTTTTTAAGTTTAACTAGGGATGCACCGATACCGATACTAGTATCGATATCGGTGCCAATACCGAGTAATTGGGCGAATACTCGTACTCGCCCAAATGCTCCGATGCCTAGCACGAGTACTTCCTGTATCAGTGTAATGACGCGCTGTCCGGCTTCCTGATTGGTCGGGAAGCTGGCCAATCAGGAAGCCGGGTGCATTCTGATTGGCCGGGAAGCTGGCTTCATGCTCTCTCTTCATCTCATGACGAGAGCATGGAGCCAGCCCCCCGGCCAATCAGAATGCAGGGTGTCACGTCATTACACGGCACCTGGCTTCCTGATTGGCCGGCTAGGCGGCTCCGGCTTGGTACCGGAGGAAGGCCACGTTCTGGCTGGAGAGGCCCCGGGGGTGACAGACTGGACATACCAAGGTAAGAGGGGACAGACTTTATTGTTAATCAGGAAGCCAGGTGTTGAGTCATTACACGCCACCTGGCTTCCTGAATGGGACTTCCGTTACTCGATAATTGGTAATGGCGAGAAAAAAAAATTATCGGTACTCAGTACCAAAATACCGGTATCGGTGCATCCCTAGTTTTAAACCCTGAGTTTAGTGTCACTTTAAGGATGCAGTTGTATGTAAACCCTAACAATTAAACTTCTCTTATTAGCTCGTTATAACTGTTTGATATCTTTTGGTACATAAAGAATTCATTTTAAAACTACTTTTAAAACCTAAAAGGAAAAGTGTTTTTTTTCCCTACAGGAAGCAATGTCCATTTAAGTAATGCATGCCTAAAATTTCACCTAAGTGCTTGCTTTCCATCTCCTTTCTGTGCTTTAGCTAGCAAAGCCTACAGAAAAAGAATATATTGTTTGTCAGTTTTCCTTTTGTCTTCTACATCGGTGTTTTCAATTGCAAAACAAAAAAAACCCATCTATTTCATAGATATGATATAACAAATAGTACAACCTGTTAGAAATAGTTGGGGAAAAAAAGCCCCAGACATCGCAGCACTTATCAGAACCACAATAAACAACACAGAGTACATGTGCTAAACATTGTCCTTTGTCTCCAATTGCATATGCAGCAAGTGCTGATTTATTGCACAACTAAAAGAGCTGACAAAGGCTTCCTTAAATTAGATACGACTTTAAGTGACTTTTTGTAATATGTTCACATCAAAAACACTTTGCAAGGCCACATAAGAGCAACAAAATTGACATTTTTCTTTCTCAGATATGCTTACAAGAGCTCTATAAACAGGAATGTTAGCCATCTTATACAAAAAACAAGTGCATATACTGCTGGTGCACAACTACCAACAATACAGGTTTATTTAAAATAGTGCTTTGTAAGAGGAAAATTCCATCTACATCTGTTATATGCTGAGGATGTCCATACCATAGCATAAAGCTGTCCATGCACTGTAATATTTTCTTCGGTCAACTCACGGGCCGAACAAAGAAAATATTACAGCAGTCTCAATCAATGATTGGATTGAGTGTTGATTGAGGAATCTCTTGCTGTCTTTATTGTATTCTGAAAGCGTCCGCTGTCAGAATACAATAAAGCCGACAGCTCTGCCTGCTCTGTTTGAAGATTTTCCAAACGGCTCCTTTAAGTTAGCTGATCAAGGGATGCCGTCCGAAAGGTTGCCGACAGCAGCACCCACCATGCGAATTTTGGCCGGGTCATGAAAAACTAGCCCAAATTTGCATAGTAGGGGGTCGACCGATTATCAGATCCTCCAATAATTGGGGCCGATATTCACACATTTTTAAATGATCTGTATCAGTTAAATTTACTGATATTACTAATAATAAATGATATGCGGATTTCAGGCAGTTCTTGAGGAACCGGCTGAAATTCGCACAGTGGGTGCCGCTGTCTGACCGGCATTCCTCGATTAGCTGATCGAAGAAGCCGGTCAGAAAGTCTATTTATGAACAGAGCCAGCAGCCTATTCTACCAGAAGTTGGCCGCTGTCAGAATACAAAAGAAACAGGAGATGTAGTCTCCCCCCTACATCTGCTGTAACATTCACTGCAGGTGAAATCACCAATTAAAAACATGCACCAGGAAAATACACCTGCAGTGAATATTTGATGAATGTGACATTCCCTACTTTATAAATATACTCCTAAGTGTTGAATGTAAGTTGATTTTAAATGGACTACACACTGAGTATCAAAGCAAAAAATAGCCAGAAAGTCAAACTAAATGACAGATATATAATAAGGCCCCTTTCAGACGGGCTCTCTCAGGTCCGATTCGCAGGGGATCCATGTGACATCCATATCGGTCCAGTTTTTTTTCCACCATCTTGTGATGGAGTACAAAAAATTGCTGGTCTATGGGGAATCATATGTAATCGTGTAACACATTACCTCTAATCTGGCACGGTCAGGTACATCAAACGCAACTTTGATCTATTTGTTTTTCTGGACCTGGCTGCATCCGGGGGGTAACCGGATGTAAACAAACACATGCCCGTTTAGACCTGGCTGCCCATAGACTAACATTGGGCTTCCAATCAGATCCACTTAAAAAACTGACAGGCGGACCTAATCAGAATGCCCGGGGTGAAAGGGGCCCAATACCTCTGTCAACACTGAAATCAGATACGAGGTACAGTGGCAGTAGAACACATTTAATATTGTCACAATTGTATTATATTAATTGTAAAATATTGAACTTTTTTCCCCACTTACATTTTTTTTGCCGTCACAAAACAGGTCACTGCACTTTAAGTCCTTTGCTTCCTCCTGCCCCATAGTAGAAGGTCTGTACCTACGTACAAACAATGCTGGGGCCTGTGCATTGCACCCCTAATGCATGGATTATGTTATAGCTAAAGGAGAAGGTGCTATAGATAAAGGTGCTGCTATTAAGATATGCTTTACAACCAAGCACTATAAGGGGTAAAAGGCTATATCAGGATAACAGACAGCTACTCTTAATCCCCCTTATCTGTAGAGGTAGCTCTGCGGAAGGGGAGGATCTCTTGTGGTATTCTCTCCAGTCGTGTTTCCTGTGTGTGGGGGAGGAGATTCCATCTCGTGATGCTGTCCTGGAAGACGTTATGGGAAAACCAGAGTCCATATTTTACTAAACATTAGCAAAACAGTTCTTTCTGGTACTAGATGCGACACTGCAGCCTTTCAGCACAGGACCAGCCTGCTATCAATGCAAAGGCTCTTTACACACGATGAAGACAGCATGCAGTAGAAGGGTGGTTGATAAGTATTAGATCTTAAATTTAGGAGTTAGGTTACGGTTAGGTATAGTAATTGTGTTTTAGGGGTTAAGAGGTGGAGGTGGGGTAGTCAAAAAGTTAATTTGAAACAAATTATGATCATTTTGCTTACCTTTAATTTCCTTCTAGCATTAAATTTTCGTAATTGTTCTACAGTTTCTGGTAGGTGTATCTTGTATGCATAGCGATCTCTTTCCTATAAGAAACAAAAAGCAGCTGTGTTAGGTTAAAAATGGATTGGTCAAACAAAATGTTTACTGTAGGTCAACATCATTTAGAATGCCAGCTATTTACAGGGTTTGTCTTGCAAAGAGCTGCGCAAATTTTGGTTGCTACACACCATTAATCCCCCCCCCACCCCGATTAGAAGTAAAGGGTGTTTCCAGGAAAGTGATAGTTTAGCTTATGAGTACAGCTGTTATCAGATATCCTCTTCCCAAGTTCAACACACACAAGTTTTACAGTTGTCACCAGAACAAGCGGTGAGGGGAAAATCTTCCAATAGGGTGAACCGTTTGGTGAAAGCTGCGTAAGAGGCTCTCCCCCTTTTCTCTCCATTGGGTCTCTGCAGCATTAAGTGAAATGAAATCTCAATGGGACACACTAACTGCATTCACTCTATCCACTGCCTTTAGAGGCCACTAAGGCTTTTTGGACAAAGGAGGGCTTAGCCATCAAGTCAAACCCGAGCCATAAAAGGGAAACAGAGGCCGGAATCAAACCTGTCTGTTCCAGTTGGGTGTTTTAACACAACACGGACTATTAACGACAAAAAGAACAGAGATGCACCATTTAAAAAAAAAAATGTACACACTGCACAGAGTTGTGTTACAGTGCATTGTGGTGTGCTGCAATACATGTGCATCAGAAGTGCGTTGGGGTGCCACTGACAACACATGGCACTGCAATGCGCTAATGCATTTAAGATATTGCAGTAACCTGCGTGTTCCACAACACTGCACTGGAGTGGTGTGAATAGCCATAAATCAGACAGGATCACGGCAGAAACCCTTCAGGGTAATAAAGGTAGAAACATCCATAGTGTGGCATCAGCTCTAAGGCAAAGCTTTTACTTTGAATACAGTAACTCCCCTAAAATACAAACAAGTTTTGTTCAGAGAGCGCACTCGTAAGTCCAATTTGTTCGCAAGTCTGATAAAGTTAGCCTAGGTACCCGACTAACACAATCGGCTATATAGTACTGTACTGTAATAGGTTTATAATACTTTTCACGCAAATAATACAAACTAAAGAAAACATTTTTAATCTTACAGTACAACAGCTGGCATAGACTGGCATCAAGTGATACAGTACTCTATACAATAATGTACAGTATAATACACAAAAGCAAAACCACTTGTAGAGAATGCATACACAATGCAATGTACACCAGACAGGTGAAGCAACTTACGTGATTGGAGATACAAACCCACGTTCGCATCTTTGAAAGTTCGCAACTTGAAGGTCTGTATGTAGGGGACTTACTGTATTTCAAATGGAACACAGGGTCACACCTTTAACAGAGTCACTGATCTAAGGCTAGTATGCAAATCAGGACTTTCTAATGTGTACACCTTTTAAGGGTGAGTGATGCAAAAGGTATTGATGACTGGGATAGTCAAGCATCTAGCATTATCCAAAAGTTACTAAGCAAGGGCAGCATTCATATATGCAATAACGGATAATTAAAAATGAATGGAGTGAATGTCTGACTAACAGTTGCAAATTTGCTAAAAATCGACAGTTATTATATAATTAAAATAAACTGGTTGTTAGCATAGCAGGGGACCTTCTTGCTATAAGAATAACAATTCCTTGTAAAGGTGCCCACACACCTTGCGATAATCGTACGATAATCGCGGGAAATCCCGACATCGTACGATTATCGTAAGGTGTGTGTGGAAGCCGTGCGACCTCTACTACTACTACTACGGAGTCGCATGACTTTTATCTTAGGAACGTGTTCGAAAACTCGCCGAGCATCGTGCCATGTTCGGCGGGTGTGTAGCATGTTCGTAAGATAAAAGCCCGTTCGGCATTGCGGTCATCGGAAGCCCGCCCCCCAGGGGGGTGCGGCTTGCGATCATCGCAAGTACGATCTGCCTGTCCAAGATAGGCAGATCGTACGTTTTTTAAATTACCTTATAACCATCGCAACACAAAAGTCTTGTGATGGTTGTAAGGTGTGTGCCCAGCCTTACAGACCCAAAAAAACTATCAAGAGCTGAAGGAAAACAGTGCAGGCAGATTAGAAACCAAACAGGATATTTATATATCGTTGTAACCATAAATTGTACAAACATGTGTCTGTATAAAGCTGCCCACACACCTTACAATTTATCTGCAGATTTTCTGTGGTCAGATGGAAAAGGTGCAACAGATTCCTCCATCTACACTTAACTGTGTGGATGGAGTCCACCTGGGCCAATCTGTTGCACTTTTTCCATCTGACCACAGAAAATCTGCAGATAAATTGTAAGGTGTGTGGGCACCTTTAGGCTTGATATAAATAATAAATTTAAAAAAATGAAGAAAACCAAAGCAAACTCTCAGAAAATAATTTTCACCCAACATTCAGTATTTAGCACTTTAGCAGTTCATAGCTGCATTTCAGAATACAAAAAAAATCTGATGAAATTCTTAACTCAGTGGGTTGTAAGGCAGACACACACACAGGTATGATCATTCAGTGGATCATTAGACGCAACTAAAATGATCACATTGAATAATAATTGTAAAGAACAGACTGCACACTCGAATTTCATGAGCTTTCTCTCACTTTCCACGAAACATAATGCTGCTAATGATCAGCTGTGGCAGAATTTTGTTGATCGATCCTAATGAAGCGAGCGGATATCAGATCATGGTACCGGTCAATTAAACGATCGTTTCTTATAGATTGTATCTGACAAATTGTATTTTCAAGCAATATCGTATGTGTTATATCATTCGATAGTCTAAATTGATAAATCGGTTGTATGCGAACACTTGTGCCTAGATCACTCACAAATGGATACATTTCTGCCCACCATTACATGCACAAGGGTCTTGATTGTTAACTCTATACAGTTGTGCAACAGTTTTAGTGTGTGGTTAAGAGGTAACTATTGGGCTTCCACCACTTTGGGCATTTGCAATGCATTTCACAAACTGTTCCTGTTAAACTTCAGTTTGATGCATACATTATTTCTTTAGATGTACTGTTAAGCCTCGTTTACACGGGGCGATCTGGCATTCCTACATCAGGAACCTATGGATTTCTGCAGAGAAAAGGTGTCCTCGTTCAGATGCGGCCGCTGTACCCATTGAAGTTAATGACCGTGTGACAGTGGACGCATCTGTAAGCGGCAGACTGCATGTAATCATATATGATATGATTACACGTCTCCAGAGACCATCATCTACTCCAGACCACATGTAATCGTAACATATACGATTACAAGTGGACTGCCACTTACAGATGTGCCTGCGGTCACCATGTCATTAACTGGAATGTGCACAGTGGCCGCATCTGAATGGGACACATGGGATTCCTGCCGCAGGAATCCCAGATCACCCCGTGTGATTTGGGACTTGTGTTTACAACCAGTCTACTATGCCAGAATTGTAATGAAGTGTCATAATGTATTGTAGTGTTGATGAAAATTCTACTTACTGTAAATATGCCCTTACTTGGCTTTTGTTAAAGAATCCTATTCCGTGCGTTTGTCATAAGTGTACTCTAGAGTGTTACTCATCATCTGCTACTAGACATTTCATAGTAATACAGTCATGTCCTTACCTTCAGCCATGGGTGGTTGAGTGCCTCATAGACGGTTATTCTTTCAGCAGGGTCCAGCATAAGCATGCGGCGCACCAGGTCTTTGGCACTTTCAGATATATGGCTCCATTGTCTGGGATTCATCTAAATGTTTGGATATAAAAGAATTTACTCTATGCTTAAAGCAGATCTAATTACCCCATCCCAAGCCGCAATCTGTTTATATAATGTGCTGTGCTGGGCATATGTTAATGTCCTCTGGTCAAGAAAGATTTATAGGGATACTATCACAAAAAATGGTGTTCTGAAAACTATGTGGATACAACATGTAATGATAGTTTCCACCATGTTAGTTTCTCAGTCCCCTCTCCTGGACAGCATGAATAAAGACATTTGATGTTTAAAAAAAAAAAAAAATGTAGAATACATATACTGTTTACTATCATTACATGTTTTGAACATATACAGTTATTGGAATTTTTTTCCTACTGTATAAGCAAACATTTACCAACTCCCCATCCCCTTTCACAGCTGCTTACTTAACTTTGTTTCAGAGCCACAGCCACAGCTCCAAGCATTGTATACGATTCATCATCATATGTGCTGCCTTTTGTTTTCTTATTCTTATGAGCTTATTTGCCTTCTATTTTATTTTGTGGTTGATTTGAGGTTAGACGTCGCATAACTGCCGTCCCATCCAATGATGGCATCACTCCCCTACCCCATGGATAAAATTTAGGCTTACGCTAGTTAGGTCCAACACCCCTGATTAAAACTGTCCAGCTACTGGCCAATTTCACACTGCTGTAGCCACCCCAATATGTTCATTCTTGTAGTTAATCTCCTGCCTGCGCTCTTTGTCTCTAGTAAATTTGGGTCTAACTTTTGCTCTTTTAAATTGTCTTGCCGCGCCCTCATTCATTTATCTGTATGTTTTTCGATACCGTAAACAATATGTTATTCTTTTTCTGGGAATATCCATCAGCCCTACGTTATGAGTAGTGTATTGTACCGATTCTTTGTTCTTTGACAAAATCTTAATAAAAATATTGAAAATAAATGGTCTTGCCGCTGGCTGATGTCCTGTTGTGGGCCAATTTTACACACCTTTAACATTTGCAGTCTCCTCTTAATAAGTCATTGTTAGAAATTGGCTATCTGCAGGACAGCTTTGCATCAGCGAGTACATGGACATGGACAGCCACAGCAAATAATTGGTCAATTTCTATCTGCCATTCAAAATAATTACTGTTTGATGAAAAATCTTGTGATGCTACTAAGGCTACCTTAAAAAAAAAAAAAAATTCCCCCAAACTGACAATGCTGTAACCCACAATAGCTGTAAAATAAAAAATTAATTTCACAGCCAAATATGCACTACCAGTTTACATGCTGTGAAAATCATATACTGTTCTGTACCACCACATACACGTCATTAAAACGATCACCCTATTAAAAGATGTGTATTTTCAATGTTCTCCTTGATTAACCTCCCTGGCGGTATGATTTTTTTTTTCTTTCCTTTTTTGTTCTGTTTTTTTTTTTACTTTTAAACTTCCCGCCGGTTCTGCCCCACTGCGACGCGGACGCTCGCAAGGACGGAACCCGGATGCCGGCATCGGCCGGAGGACTCAGCGGGGATCGTGGACAAAGTAAGAGACGCTACGCTGTATTCCCGAGTGTGGCTCGGGGTTACCGCTTATGGCACTGAAAATTAACCCCGAGCCACACTCTGGAATACCGCCAGGAAGGTTAAAAGACCCTCCTTGCCTGTTGTATTTTAAAAAATCCCATGGCAGTGCCCAGCTGCCCTTTTTGACAGCAGCTCCCTACTAGCCCTAAAAAGTGGCAGAATGTGACAACATACATCCCCACCCAGTGGCGGAACTACCGCCGGTGCAGGAGCACAGGGCCTCAGCCTT